CCGGCGCCGGCGTCTCCCGCCCGTGCCGCCCGGGGCCGGCTTCCTGTGTCCCGTCTGCCGCCCGCGCGCCTCCTTTTATGCCTTCGTTTGCTGCTGGAGCTTTCTCTGTGGCTGGCACCGCTCACTGGCTCCGGGGCGGCTCCCCGCTCGCCCGACCGGCACTCGCTCGCCGCCAGGCAGCTTCCCCGGCGCTCGGGAGTCTGCGGCCTGTTCCCAAGCTGTCTCCGCCTCTCAGCGCCGTCTGGGGCGCGCTCCACGCGCCGCGTCCAGGGCTCTCGAGTGGCACTTCACGGACGGACGGGGAAAGTGGGCTTACTCATCTTCCCGGAAGCAGAAGTCTCTGCCTGGCTAAAGTTTTGTGTCCCTTCCGTTTTTCCTCTTCTGTTTTTAGTACAGAAACCGAGAAGAGCACTTCGCTCAGCAAACGGCGCTGGTGACATCTTGCTTGGATTGCTTAAAGTATTAGAAGATATTAGCATTTCCTAACAGAAAATAATGCCACACATTTTTAAAGTCACAAAATATACAGATTGAGCTCTTCGATCATGGGTTGTTTTTTAACCACCATTTCATTCTCATGTTTTTCTTTTAGAAAGCTGAAATAAGAAACTTTAATAGTAGTCACCGTTTGGAAAGGGAATTAGAGGAGGAGAAGAGAGACATAGCTTCTGGATTTTTTTTTTGCCATGTGTCACTACATTTTTTAAAGTTAAAACCATGGCTTCAGAACTTAACTATACGACAGGCCCCATGCTACCCTGTGAGGAAGCTTTGCACATCCCTCATTTATATCAGAACTGAGGCTCAGAGGGCTTGTCCTCCTCATTAATCACAGCCTGTGACTTGACTGCAAAGAGCAGCAACCCACTGAAGCCACCTTAGGCGGGGGTAATCTAGCTCAGCTTTTTAGGGTCTGGTTTCTAGGATGCGAATGCTTTGGGTTTGAAACGCAGCTTTCACTTAACTACCTCGGGCAGGTTACGTAAGCTCCTTATATTTCAGCATCCTCACATGTCAAATGAGAATAATAATAGTACTTATCTCAGAGGGTTCTTGTGCCGATTGAATGAGATGCTGTGTAATGCACCTAGCACATGCCTGGCACTCCATGACAGGGTGGTGAGTTGCCATGTAGAGGGTCTAGCCCCAGCTTCACTTGACCTTACAGTTCTAGTGTCCAGTACCTGATTTGCAAGAACCTCTGTGTCTCTTAGTCTAGAGCGAAAGCCTCTGGCTCAGCTGGGTTGGGTTTTGACCCTGGCCAAGTCAGCTGCGGCTAGGAGGGAGCGTCTACACAGCAGGGCCCAGCCACCCCTCCGGAAGGCCGGAAGGATGAGGTGGGCTGGGCAGTGGCCCACATATGTCTGCCAGCCTGACACGTAGCGGGGCTTGCATTGGTTCGGTTGTATCTTTTAAACTTTCCTTAGTTTCTCAGTGTTTTGAAAGAGACAAAGTAATGTTAGTTTTTGTTCTGAATGAAGACAACACCATTCTTCTAAATTCATTTCCCTGTGTTATAATAGTACTTTGTCTCTCTAGCAGGTCCTCCTCGAAGCCTACCCAATAATCTTATTTATTTTTCAGGTTACAGAATACCTGTATGCTAATAAAATGGCTTTCCGATACCCAGAGCCCGAAGACAAGGCCAAATATGTGAAAGAAAGACTATGGCGGAGTGAATATGATTCCTTGCTGCCAGATGTGTATGCATGGCCAGAATCGGCATCGAGCCCTCCTCTGATAGCAGAGTAGAAGCACTCCTACTGACAAGTACTTTCCATGCTTCAGGGAGCCCCCTTTTCAGAGAAAAAGATAATTTTTCTCAGATTTATGTTATTTTCCATGTTTTTCCTGCCGTGCAACTCTGCTTGACTTATTTTTCCCCTACATCTCCACATCTGTTGGGGTCGATGTGTCGATGTACTGTTAATGCCCACTGGACCCTACAGTCAGACATCCGGGCTTCAGTTGTCACAGCTCATGTCACATCCCAGAGACGTTACAAATGCGTGTGTGAATGTCTGCACTTAGTTGACCTCTTATTTGCCCTTGCCAGGATTTTGCTATTTGCTGTTATAAGTAATAATCTTCTCTCACCCAGTTCCTTTACAACTACTAAGAGAGAAATTTCCTTTTGTGGATATGCATACCGGATTTTGAGAGAAGCCAAATTTTAAACAAATTTCAAGGGAGAATGGTTATTATCAAAAATGTCCTTTTATATCAGCTTCATCTTACCTTCATGCTCTGAAATCTCTTTATAGCAGATAGATCCAGAGAGACATGAAAAATTTACCCTCTTATTTATTTTAGAATTCAATTAAAGTTTAACCAACATTATGAGTGAGTAATGGGAATTACTGCTGCCTTTAGACAAATAAAACAGTCATTGTTTTCAACAGTGTATAAAAATCATAGTGTAACTTTTTTATTTAATAAAAGTAATATCTTAAGTTTACTTGCTTCAGTTATGCTATCTTATTGCCCAACTAGAAATTTAGGTTTGCTTATTATGAAAAACATTTTTTCATTAATTCTAGATGATTCTAGAAGGGAGCATAGGATAGGATAACCTGACCACGTATACTAGAAGGTCATGTGACTTTAAAAAAGTAAATTAGTCGTGTTTCACATCCAAATAAGTCGTATTTGACTCGAGAAACTGTACCCTTATTCCAACAGTGATGTTCTTTATTACTTGAGATAACTTTGGAATGTTCCTGTGATACATGTCTTTCAGTATTATCAGTAGTAACAACTCTTTCTCCATTGAAGGCAGATTTAATTTTTGTAAACTGCCAAAGCTCATTTAAAGCTGTATGGGAATGAATAAGGTAAGTGTTCATCCAGGAAATGCCATTTTTAATCCCAGTAAAGTGGGTAAGAATTGGCTAATGAGAACAATTTTGTGTAGCTTGCATGTTGAAGAGTTCCAAAGGAAAATCCAAAAGCATTTTGAGAAATAGTATTGCTATATATCTGCCTACCATGGTTGCTTTGAGGGAACAAAACTGTTTTTGGCGTTGGAGTCTTACTCTCACCCAGGCTGGAGTTCAGTGGCACAATTAAGGTTCACCGCAACCTCGACCACCTGGGCTCAGGCAATCCTGCTACCTCAGCCTCCCACGTAGCTGGGACTGCAGGCGTGAGCCACCGTGCCTGGCCCGCAACAAAACTTTTAAAAGCTTCAGTCTAGGAAAGAAACAGCAGATTAGTTGTAGATACATAGTGGGCCTGCGTAGTATTTGATGCTGCTCTGTCGGGAAAAGGGGCTTCATTTTTTGTTGTTCATCTTTTTGTCCTGCCTATAGCTAGAGCTCGAGTCGCCATACTTTTAAGAACACTTAAAATGGCAGTGCCATCCGGGGTATGGGAAAATGTAGGTGGCTAATCCATTTAACAAATGCATGGAGTCAGAAGTCTTTTTCATGACATAAGGAAGTAGGTCGCAGTTTGTTTGAATTAAAGATGAGAAAGTTTCTGGGTCTTTGTTTAGACAAGGTTTTGCTGTATGGCCCAGGCTGGAGTGCAGTGGCTATTCCCAGGCACGATCATAGAGCACTACAGCCTCAAAGTCCTGGCCTCAAGAGATCATTCTGCCTCAGCCTCCCAAGCAGCTGGGACTGAAGGTGCACACCACTGTGCCTGGCTGAAAGGCTTCTGTTTGTTCTGATACCTTTGTCAAAACAGAATCGCCCCTAAAAATAGTCTCTGTGTGAAACCTTGATTTTAGTTTAACATTAGGACTAAAATAGTTACCAACCTGCGTTCTGCTTAGTGCTTGTTGAGGGCAGAAACATAGGCCGAATTAAAATCATTTTACTTAGACGTTTGCTTATTAAATACACCCGGTACAGTCTTCATGGAAATTTCAAACCACTTTAAGAAAGGCGAATGGTATGTGCCTGCTGAAATAATACAGAAATCTTCAAAGCTACTTATTTTGTACCAACCAGTATCTGAACAAGTGTCAATGACTGGCTGTCAATTAAAGAAACATTGCTTACTATTTAAGCCAAGGGTATGGGCAGGAACTGTCAGCCCTGCGGGGGCAGGAGAGGGCAGGATGGCATCACGTTGGAAGAGAGCCTGCAACACTTGGGTCCTCTGTGGGAACTTTACCTGGCAGGAGGGAAATTATTTGGAAAAACAGCCATAGAGAATCTTTCTCTTTTTTTTGAATAGAGAGGAATTCTGTGGATCGCAGTGTCAGTAGTTCCTTAGTCGGCAGAAGTGAGAATGCTTGTTTTTCGAATGTGTCGTCACCACCTGCAGTGCAGACAGATTGGATAACTAGTAAGAGCAAGGTTTATTGACAGCAGCGGAGCAGTTGGGGCTCAAGACTTCGGCTCAGATATTCTTAAAGGATGGACCCCAACCAGGAAGTTGCCTCAGGACCCCAGGAGCTTCTTTGGGGTGCAGGTGTGGCTGCTCCCGCCCTCCGGGCCCTCCCAGACCACCAGGGGCAGATCCCGGGCAGTGTCTTTTCAGCGCCCCGGACTCGCTGACTGCCCTCACAGCCGCGGCCCCGAAGCCGACATCAGAGTCATCCGCAGAGCTGGCCGGTGCCGATGGCGGTGGGGGGGCCTGAGAGGCTGCATCTCGGACAAGCTCGGGCCTGAGCGTGTGCGGCTGGCACGAGCACACACTGAGGGGCACCACCGCAGAGCGCTGTGCGGGGGCAGCGGAGCCTGCGCTTCGGGGTCATTTGCTTTGACTTGCATGAAAACGGCCGACCGGAAATATGCTTTTACACAGTCATTTTCATCTAGCAGTGTTTAGTTTTTACAGGATGTTGACAAAAACAAAGACAGAATTCGGAAGATTTCTCTGAAAATACCTAAGAACTAGAACTCTGTGTAGTTCTGACTTAAGGATCTTTAGCGTGCTGATTAAGTAAAGCCCAGCAGCCAGTTTTCATTTGTAAACGACGAGCTATCAAATGGACATCTGCTTCCTCTTCATTCCTAGTTCTTTTATGACATGACTTACCTTATCCTTTGTCCTTTCTTTTTCTAAATTAGCAACCTCTAGAGAAACAGGATATTACGTTTTTGCAAAAGAGTTGCTAATGAATTTTTAATGAAAACATCATAATCGTCAAGGAGTATGGAGCATTACTTCCTGGCTCAGATCACAAAGCCCCAAGAGGGATGGCAGTGAAATACAGAAAGCCTTGCCGTGGAATAACGCTCCAACCAAATGCGCCTGTGGCTTTTCCCTGAAACCCGTTCCGTGTCCCTCAAGGATAGCCTTTTCTTACTCTTAAGTAGCTCCAGGGCTCTGTTGAACTTACCAAAATGGAACCAGCTCAGCAGAGAGTGTCAGTAGAAACCTCAAAGCTCTTTACTGGGGTTCCATCCAAAGGGAAATCTTAACGAAACAGTACCAATATGGTATTTCCATCCAAGACCACATACGTTCAGGTCTGGTGCACATCTCCCTTGGTTCTCGACTGTTTTTGTGGTTTGCACTTGGAGTCTAAATGTTAAGATGAAACCTTCTGCAGATGAGCTGAAGTAACATACTTCATATTTAAAATATCAAGACAGCCAGGCTCAGTGGCTCAGCCTGTAATCCCAGCACTTTGGGAGGCCAAGGCGAGTGGATTGCCTGAGCCTGCAAGTTTGAAACCAGCTTGGGCAACTTCGCGAGATCTCTTCTCTACAGTAAATAAAAAGTTAGCCGGGCATGGTAGCGTGTGTCTGTAGCCAGCAAGTTGGAAGACTGAAGTGGAAAGATCGCCAGAGCCCAGCGGGTCAATGTGAGTCTGCCACTGCACTCTAGCCTTGGTGACGGAGTGAGACTCCGACTCAAAATAAAATAAAATAGCATAGCGAGACAATTTGACTGTAGAAAACTTTCTCACCTGAAATCAGGAGGTTTCGTATAAGAGAAAACTGGGCCTAGTTAGGACATGGTTCTTATTATATAATTTGCTTAACCCTTGCCAGAAGTTATTTAGATAAACGAATGATTGCATTTTAAAACTAATTTTCCTTTCTTGGATGAAGTAAATTGTGCCTGTCAAAGATAAAAGTAAATATGGAAATGTGTTCATAGTTCAATTGCGTAAAATAGATATAGTAAAAGTCAAGTGGCTTGAATGCTTTGTATCTTTTAGTAAACAGCATTTTACCAATAAATTGACCCTGATTTCATATTACTGTTTCATCCGAGTAAAAATTTGTTGCTACTTGGGAAGTTATTCCTACACTGAACATATTTTTTAAGTTTTAAGGCTAAGGGAAATTTGTGGGTATACTTCAGTTTTCAGGATTTGTTTTATGTTCTAGAAAAATGTCTTAATTTTAAGTGTATATTCTGGCAAATCATTGATTCCTATATGGCTGTTGAATTATCACCAACACATTTGGTGTATACAGTTGGCGAATAATGACAAACTGAATTCCATGGATAGTACCTACTCTCAGCCACGCTTGTTCTAGTCGTCTTACATAGGTAGTCCTCACCATCACCTTGTTTCTGTGCCTGTTTTACAGATAAGGACAGACACTGATCTACTGTCTGTCTCTGTGGATTTGCCTGTCATGGACATTTCATATACACGAATTTGTATAAAATTACAGCAAAAAAACAAGGACAGACACAGAGTAGTTAAATGACTTGCCGACCATCTCATGCTGAGTGGCAGAACCTGGGCTCTTTCACAAGGCGAAGCGGCTTCAAGTGTAGGGAATTTTATCTGGATCTTAAAAACCACGTGTGTCTGTAGTTCCAGCTACCTGGGACGCAGAGGCGGAAGGATCGCCTGAGCCCAGCAGGTCGTGGCCTGCAGTGGCCAAGAGCGTGCTGTTGCACTCCAGCCTGGACGACAAGAGTGAGGCTCCAACTCGAAAAAAACCTTCAAGAATTGTTATTTCGGATGAAAAATTTTTACCTGTTCCTTTAAGATTCATCTTAGGTCCTTTTAAATACATTTTTACCAGTTCATCTGATTTTTGCTCCGTTCTCATTTATAATTCAAATACAATATAGTCTTCAGTATTTTAAGCATTGGGTATAAACATTAAAGATTTAGTTTTGAATTTGATACATTATACCAAAAATTCTCAGTAGCCAGTTCACTAATACCTTTTGATGGGGTAATCTTCACAGAACCAACAATTGCTATCACTTCTGTGCAAATCAGTTTCAGTTGTGCTTATATATAAGAATATTCACTTTGTGAATCCGCCCATGTCATGCATGTTAATTATCAGGTATATTTGAAATGATATATGTTGTGTTATATGCATCTATAACTTCTTCCTCTAAAAGGTGAGAATAGAGTACTAATATAAAATGTATGTGTGGAGAAAACATTTCTGAAGAGACCTATTTTAACAAAGATTTGACAAACCTTCTCCCCAATGTTTTATTATACTTTGCCTATTGACTTTTAAATTTTACTGAAATTAAAATATTTTTGCAAGTGATATATTTTGTGTTCCCTCT